TGGACATGCACAAAGCTGTGTTAATCCAACTATTAAAAGAGTGGATTTGTAGGAAAGTGATTACCTTCAGTGGAGTTCAGATGGAGTTGAACTGGTCTCGTGTGGCTCTGGCCTGTGTCTCTGTCAGGGACGCTACAGACACAGTGTTTGTGCCTCAGTCCAGTCCTGTCCCAGTCCTATTGTTTGCATGCGCTGTGGGGATTACACTCATTTGATCTCGCTGTATTTCACATCAAACCATTGAAAGCAGCGGGTGTGATTAGGGAGGTACAAATCATAGCTCCACACTGCTTGTAGTACTTAATATATATACAGATAAATGATTTCTTTTAAAAAAAATTTTTTTTTTTTTCACTCAACTGACACCAGACTAATTATAGAAAGCTTTTTTTATTCATTCAAGCGTAAATTTTTATGACATCTCTAGTTCCACTTGGCTCCTTTCCTTCTAGCTTTTATAGTTTCTTTCGATCCAACATACACACTCCTGTTTTTTTTGTTTGTTTGTTTGTTTGTTTTTTCGTGACAGTATTTGACAAAATAGAATTTTAAAAAATCTGAAATACTAATTTGGTTGTAATTATGCCAACTGCTGAACGGTCACTGCTTCTGCTGTATTTAAATGATCTGCATTCTTTTCATGTTCACCCAATTTATACATTTTTAATTTTCTACAACTACAGTAAGTGTATAATAACAGGATGGTCTGAATCCTGCTCCACTTCCTGTCAGTGGTCCCAGGGCAGGGCAGATGCAGCAGTGGCAGGCCCGGCTCCATTGACTGAGCAGTGAGCAGCCGTAGCACACACAGCACACATGCGCGAGGGGGCGTGTGCATAAGCTCCAGCGGGCACTGTGATCTGAGCTGATGTGACCAGCCTAAGTGTGTGTGTCTCATATCAGTGTGTCCTCCATTGCTCTCACTGTATGGGGCACTTTAATCCATTCTGCAGCAGCACTGGGGGAGCGCGCATGTATGCACACAGTCCACACACACAGTGTACACACACAGTGTACACACACAGGGCTTTGATTTAGAGTGGAGTCGACGAGGAGGTCCCACCCGCCTCTCCCTCCCTCTCACACTTTTAGCGGCGTGTCACGCAACCCTTGCTTGGTGCGCACACATGATTTCGTGCTCAAGGCCTGAGCTCTGCACCTCTGTGAGGAGCACTTAGGCCTGCTCCTATGAACTGACACACATACACTACATGTCTGCCTCCCCCACTTAAGTCTACAGTATCCTCCATCTTAGTCTGCTCTGGACCTGCTGTCCACTGGGGCTTGGCTGAGAGAGCTTTTTACAAAAGTTGTGACAAACTATTCAAATTTGTGACACTTTCTAGATTCATTTGCAATGACCTCTCTTCCGCCCTGTCTTCCTATGTGACCCACAGCAGGCCAGCTAACAGTGGGGCACAGGGCCTCACAGACTTTGTATATGACCCTATTTACTATGATAGATACAGCATTACCCAATATCCTCCACCCCATTACTACAGGTGTGTCCAAAAAGGGTGAGTAATATTATAGGTATACTATCTAAAACTGGCTTAAGGTTTTTAATATGATATAATGATGCTCCTGAACATCTTACTCAGTTACATTTTGATTCATGTGTTAGTATTTCTGAATTGTTCTTTATTAAAGGCTGGAATGTTCAGAAAATTCCTGATTTCACTTATCCCACATCTGCCCACAAATCTGTACAGGGATTCTTTAAGAAATGCTACAAAGGTCATAAAAATAAGGTTCAAAAATGCTGCTCTTGCCATTTTTTTCTGCTGTTTGACAACAATATGAAAAGGCAGGGGCAGCAGCAAAGAATCAGTTCAGTTTTGACCAAGTCTCCAACACCAACGTCTCCAACACCATCACATTTTAGATTAATATGCCAATTTATATTGAACAAAATGTAAAACAATAATTTATAATTTATAATATCTCGTCATATATATGTATATATATATATATATATATATATATATATATATATATATATATATATATATATGTTTCAAAGATCACACTGTTTTTTTATTATAATTATTATTTATTTATTTATTAAAATGTAACCCATAAACTTACATAAACAAAACTAAATTGCCATCAGCTATATTTTCAGTCTTGTAGAGGGATTATTTATGTTTCTTATTTTGCAGAATTGAACATTGTGTTTTTTAAGGAAAATTATTTAACTGGTTTGGAGTGGTCTAGGCCAGGTCTAAACTGGTCTGAACTGGTGTGGAGTGTTCTGGAGAGGGCCTGTCTGGAGTGATCGCTGTGGGGTGTGCGTGACTGTGGCAGACTGTGGTGAGCATGAATTAGCAAAGCGACCCAGTTTAGTGCCAGAGGAAACCAGACATGGGTCCTGGATACACTTCTCTACTCTAGACTCTTTCCTTTTTACATAATGTCATTCTAAATAAAGGCACATTCTGTAGATTAGCATACATAAAATAACGCCAACTGGGATCCCATCAGCCCACTCACCTGGATAAAAGTGGACATTAATCTAAGAGCAGGTCTGTGAGACATGCTTTCTGCAGACATGTTATGGTATATTCTGTGATGCTGTTACTCAATGTTTAATGAGAAAAGAAGTGCTCTTTATATACAGACCATTGTGGAGAAGCCTAGACAGATGAGGAACTGCTTTTATTTTTCTAAATGTGTGATTAAGTATATAGTGTATATATTTTTTATTTCTACATTTGTAGCAAAAATCTGCACATTCAAACTTATAAATAATAAAACATTCTAGCATAAAAAAAATCTTTGATGGCCTTGGTTATTTCAGTTTTGCTCCACCGACACCTTTGTGGCAACAAAATTTGACATTTGGTTTAAATTTGGGACATTTATTCATTCATGTATTTTATAAGATGAAAGGGAAAAATTAAGAGGAAATTATGTAAGATAAAAAGACAAAACAATAAAATTAAATGAAATGTGTACAAAAATAATTGAGTCAGTTTTAATATAGTGTTAATGTAACTTTTATTTAATAATGTTATATTATAAATATAATTTTATAATTAGATTTTTTTTTTTTTTTTAAGTTCATTGTAACAAATGACCAGGGGAATTACATAATCAAATCATGGTGAAGTGGAAAGGTAGGGCAGCGGCCTTTTGGAACAATGTGTGAAGGCCTGAACCAACACAGTAGGAACTGTATTTTATTTATTTTATGATTTTCAAAGAGTTTGACATTTGGATCTTTACCTCCTGAAATATTTGAAAGGATCTATTATCAGTAAAGCATAGAAAAAAAGAAAAGAAAAAAAAGATTGTGCAAATTAATATTGTTATTGGTTTTCACTGAAAGGCATTTTTAAATGTATGCCCAGGATACATTACAGGAACTAGTACAATGTGTACAAAGTGGCATTTTAGACTCAGTAGTCTATGTGCATTAAATATGAGGAGTTAAGAGTTAAGTCATGCTCAACAGTGAGTATTTATTGAAAAGTACTGCCAACATGCTTTCTCCAGAACCAGACTTTTGCTCCTAATGGCCTGCTTTGCATTCCTGCTCAGATGATAATTACCTGCCACTAATTAAAATACGCCTTTTAGCCGCAGACCCTGAACCACAGACACACAGACACACAGACACACAGACACACAGACACACAGACACACAGACACACAGACACACACACACACACACACAGACACACACACAGACTGGCCTGGGACCTGTAAGACCCCACTCAGGTGTGTGCACATAGAGCCGCTGTAGCGTCACGTCCAGCTCGTTTAGCTGACAAACTGCTTTTAGCGTTTAATTATCCATGGCTGCGTGATTAATAGGTTTTAATTACCGTAACCCATGGCAACCTGAAATATGCCCTGGTCCTGCATGGAGGTCAGTCAGTCCGTTGCATGGGGAAAGTCTGCAGAAAAGGCTCGTCTGGCTAAGAGGATATTCAGCGACCTCCAAGCAGCTTTTGACCACAGAGTGAACTTATTCTTCCTTTGACTTTGATGTGGCCGCACTGACACACAACAGCTTCAAACAGACTCCTTTATACAGCCGCGAGAGGTTAGCACCTTCCAAAGGTTTTTACATTCGGCTCACAGTCCTGCCCCAGCGCTTACCCCAGTTCAACGTCAGATGTAATAATTCTCTTTTTTTCAGAACACCAGTTGAGCCCTTTTTTCTCTTTGGTAGAATTAAACTTTGACATCATTGTGTGATGAACAGTTGGCGCCAAATTTAGCACATCACATTTGCATATTAGTTATTATCCTTACCCAACCTTTGCATGCTACATTGCGTTATTATTCAACGGCTCATGTATGCTGTATCTGCTGTGTGTAGATCTATGCTCCAGCTCAAAGGCCTTAACAAGAGCTTGCCAGACATCAGATCATTGGTGTAGTTCATTGTAATAAATTTAAGATCCTACTTTCATGTAAATGAATGAAGGTCCTTAAGGTAAGCTGCCTTGAGAAAGGGAATCCAAATTTTGTCAAACTGTTACCTACCTCAAGCTGTAGCTTATTGTTCAGTTGCAAGCACCGCCAACTGAGCAGCACTTTCGGTGCCTATTCTTTCTAAAGATTTACGGTGAGGGCACAGACAAAGAATGCTAAAACTTAAGAACCCTTCACAAGCTGTGTTGGTGACTGAAAGTACTGATATATTCACTGAATAATAAAAACTACATACAAATGAATGAAAAGAATGAGCAGAGACAAGATCCATGTTCCACTTTTCACTAGCTCAGCGTCCAAAGACACATGTCGCGTTCCATGAAGCAATGACTTACAATATATCAGATAAATTACTATGTTATTTTCTTCTATGGATTTAGAAATTAAATTAGCACGACATTTGTGTAAAAATAGAGACCAAAAATTAAACACAATAGTTTCACTAAATCATGACAAAAAATAAAAAATATTTTTGCCAAAAGACAAAAACTAAATAAAATTTTTTTCTGAAAATTAACTCAGCACTAAAGATCTCCTATTATTTGCAGACTCACCCACGCAGGAGTCACGGTGCTCCTCAAAGCCCGCTGAGCACACACAGCGTCCGATGGGCACTAACCACTCCCCCTCAGCGCTGCAGTACATTTTGGGTGTATCCCTCTCCTCGGCGTGGTCCACACACTGCCCTCGGACCTCCACCAGAGAGGAGGAATCTGCACCCGTCACCACATCTGTGAACACGGCCAAGTTCCGGCTCACTCCCACACAGCGCTTGTAGTACACGCGTACGGAGGTCAGGGCAATGCAGGCACCTATGTCCTGGAAGGCCAAGTAAAAGCCCCTCCGCGACAGAGGGCCCACCCCACGCACCTACAACACAAGACATTAGAAACCATTAATAACACCAACTTACTCCTTCATTACAAGTAATATTGTTATAAAACATACAAATATCTATATAATAATCTTATCTGGCAGAGAGTGAGTAGAGGAAAAATACATATTAATCATTGAGTAAAAAAAAGTCTTACTTGCCTGAACTATCAATATAAATGAGGATCAGTGACAAAATATTTTTTTTACAATTTGATGCAAAGAAAGAAAGAGATGCTATGGGTGAATTTATGAAAAGACATGGTGAGCAAAGAGCAAATACTTCTCTGGCAGCCGATGAAAGAAAATATGTATTACTGCTTGTTATAAATGATTTAAATCTAAGTTATGAAAAAACTACTCATAAGCATGTTTAACTAGTGAAATTCTCCCATAATGTATTAAAAGCCCAAGTTCAGGAGATCCTTGAACGATTAATGCATTATTTTATCCTCATATATTTAAAAATGACTTAATTACAATAATGTACAGTATTTATCAATTATTTGCAATGAAATTGAATTTGAGCACACATCCGCACGGCGCCTATATGAAAAGGTGTGGACTTGCTGTTGCTCCACAGTATAAACATGGAACAATGATTGAATTTGTGGATGGAGTTTTGGCTGTGCTTTGGCAGCAGTCATTAATCAAACACTCCATTCCACTACAACAGAAAACACAAAACACTACTTTTTTCCATTTCTATAGGCTCCGTCCCTACATCTCGTCCCAGCTGACTCCCTCATTATCTGTGCAAATTCTATCAACAAGTCCAATAAAAGAGCAGTTTGGACGCTTGGTAAGAGGGAATAATATATGTATAATTATGTACACAAATGTTTAATGCAGTGCACTTTACAATAAACATGCCCTGTGTTGTGCATATACGGGCGTCTGACGAGCTGTTAGCACTACACTCTAGTCTGAAGAGTTCGGACACACAGGCAGATGGCAGAACTTGATGTGCTTTTCCCATTTAATCTTGTTTTCATGTAATTATGAAGCCACTGAAGTTGAAATGATTGAATGATTTTTCACAGTGCATAATTTGTTATTGTTTATAGCTAAAATGTAAACACTGTGTATAACAAATAATCAAATACATCAAACAAACTGTACTCATCTTTAGATTTGGCTGTTATACTGAATGTGCAGTATACCAATATATGGATTAATATGTAAATGCCACAACTTTCAACTAGACATGCAGTCAATTTAAAAAAAAAAGTTTAACAAACATACATGGACTTCGGGAAGATTATCTTCTGAAAGCTATCTAAAATTTGGAGGGGACACAAGTGAACAAGAAAAACCCTAAGATTGAAGCAAAGATGCCGAGACTGCTGTAAATCTATACTGGAATAGATGTGCAAGTTTCTTCATAACATAACATGTCTGTGCCCAAAATGGATTCTTGTGTGCTACTGCAGCTCAAAGGAAAAGAGGAGCACATGCTTTGTTCAGTATGATTTCTGGAGACACTGATGTATATTGCACAAAAGACACGGCTTCAATAGGAAATGTGTACAAACGGATTTGATGGATCGGAGATGGATAGATGATATTCTTCATTGTCAGATTGACTCCGCTCTCCAAAAGCATAAAGACTTGGCTAATTAGACACGTAATTATAAGCAGTGTGCTTCTGTTGAGTTTTAATCAGAGTGTTTTATCGCTTTATCAAGTCCACATCAGAAGTGAAACATATGTCGTTTGATAAGAAACTGTTGGAGAAGATTTAGTTAATATCTTCTCTCTGTGTGAAATTTGCCACTGCTAAAACTCATGGAGTGCTTTTAAACGAATGTGCCCGGCTGAAATCACAAATTCATTGAAATGAGAGTTTTCTTGCTTTGTCATTGTACATATATAAAAGGGAAATGAATATCTAATCAGCCTTTTGACATCTAGATCCTGCCGTGTCACAAATCAACACGCTCGCTCGTTTATACAAAAATATGCTCATGGATTACATCATGTGAAAAGTTTAGGAAGACATTTCACTTTTTAGTTTTACATTAACTGCTCATTTCCAACTTGAGAATAGATTTTAAGAATGTTCCTGGATTAAAGGTTGAACTGAAGTGACCTATTCTCCTCACTTGTGCTTCTGCTAGTAATGGGCAAAATGTGGGGAAGCAACCTGCCGTGTTGCTGCTAAAGGCTATTACATACAGCACACTGGATATAAAATCATTAAAATTCTTTTGCTGTAATTCTGTCATTTTCCATTCCAATCAAGAGAACTGCCAACAATTTGACCAGACAACAATAAATATATTATTGTTTTATTACTATTATTATTATTTTATTACTTACTAGTCTATTGTAAATATGCAGGATATAAAAAATTGGTCTCTACAAGTTGAATCCTTCAAAACTGCATCAACAACATGGTAAAATAGCAAAGACTTTAGTTTTGTAGATTAAGTTTGGTTATGGTTTAGATTATGTTTAGTAAAGTAGTGGTTATAGTTAAGGTTAGAATCAGTCGAAAGGAGGTGAAAGTAAGTAAATGTAATGTAATATCTGTGTGCTCTGGGTGGTGTACCTCTTTGTTGAGTTTGAGTCTCCGCACTCCTAGGTCCACTCCAGTGAAGCTCTCATCTGCAGCAATAGTGTCGATCTTGATAAACTGGTTTTCTCTGATGGTTGAGCCCACTGCACGATCCGACTCGAAGTAGTACAAGTTAAAAGTCTCCTGCACAGATACACAATATATTCAGTGGTACTTTGTTTTATCAGACTGACTTTTTTTTTTTTTTTTTTTACACAATTAATATAAAAAAAACCACCCAGAGTTATTTTAATGTTAGTTGTTAGATTAGTCATACGCATTTTGGATAGTTTTATTTGCCATGAAGTGGTGTTCTTCAGAGTGCCACATGCGCACTCCTGCAGTAGTTCCTCTCGCCAACGCAAGCTTAACACTCATTATCAGAGTGTGATTGTGGAGCTTTGCAAGAGTTATCTGAAAATAAGTCTAAGACCTGGCCTCTGACTGAATTTAGAAAAGGCTAGCCTGCAGCCCAGAAGTGTTATCCAGAAGTCACTCATTCATACAGAAGTCGAAATAATAATACATTAAATTACTATTGAGATTAAATTTGCTGTTTTAAATTTTGCCATTTTGCTCGACATTATTACCAGAATAATTATATTCAGTTCAGTTCAAGGTAAGTATAATCATGTACCTCCTGCACATGCACAAGATAAAACTACTTTCTAGAACATTCTTTCTCATTCCAAAAAACAAAACAATAAAATAAAAAAATACGATAATGAGGGGAAAAAACAAATGTAATATTAAAGTCCGGTGCTTCCTATTTTTGCTGTGTTGTCAAAATAAAGCCGAAGGGCACTAAATATATTGCAGTATCTTATTGAAGCTGGAATGTGTAACTCTTATCTTGCAGCAGAGAAATAATTTATATTTGCTCATAGACTTTTGTAAAAGCAGCAACTCAGAAAAAAACATTTGTTTTCTATATTACACTTTGGGGTTAGGGTGGTCCGCCCTGTGTAATGTTGCTATCTCACAAAGCATGTATTTGTTTCTGAAACATAATCCAATAATCAACACAATCCAATCACATGAACTACTGGTATGTGCTAAAGGGTTTGTTAAAGCACAAAACAATTTGTGACTGTCACTGATAGTTTAACCTCCACAGGAGCGTCCTCCTTTCATGGTTTGACAACAGGAAAAAACTAGTAAAGCAGCTTAAATATCAATCCTATTTTGCACATTCTAGAATAGTGAAACAAATATAGGCTCTTCATGCTGAACTTTAAGTGTTTGGAACATAATCCAGAGAGGCATTCCTCTGACGACGTCAAGAGGTGATGTAGATGACTTGAATAAGTACAATGTACCTGCAACTGTGACTGTGAGGTCTCTCTCCGAGCAAATCAAACAAGATCGTATTCTCTTTACTGTGAGTAATAAATAATTAGTTCCACTTTAAAAGAACTCTGCCAGTGCTCACTCACACTGAATACCGCATGTCTTTATTTAGCAGTACATATTTAAACTTGATATACACAAATGATGTGCCACAATTTGTTCCTGCTCCTGTCGTCCCTGGTGTGATGAGTTGTGAGTCTCCACTGGTTACCTTGCAGGTGCCCAGGACTCCGGGCATGCTGTTGCAGTCTCGGAGTGTGAATTTGACCTCGATGTAGATCCTCCTGGCTCCCTCCCGTGGGATCCAGCCTGTCCTCAGCCAGTTGTTCTGACTGGGGCTCATCACATTGCACACCTGCACAGTTCAACACAGCACACACCACAGTCACTGTTTAGACCTGTTTGGTACAGCACGACTGGTCTGCAGCTGGTCACTGAGTATTTTTAGGAATAGTGATGGCAATGACAGAAGATGTATTGGATTACGTAGACTGTGAAAAAACATTGTGGGCATGCAATTCCTGATACCAAGTTGAGCCCATAGAGGTAAAATGTGTGTATTTGATAGTAAATGAATTCACATTTCATTTCACCAACCAATTCTTGGGTCTTGGTTCAATTCAGAATAGATTTCTATTTAATTTTCTTTTTTAATCAGAATATTTATTTACCTTTGTATTTATTTTTTTTGTTGCCCTATCGTACAGGAAATGGTTATCTAATTTATTTTATTTGTCAGAAGTAGCAATGAGGAACTATACTTCACTCTTACTCTGTACTCTTGGTAATCTTACACTTCTTTTCCAGGAATATATGCATTGTTAAGATGATGACTGGTAGACTGACTGAATGGAATAATTCATAGATTATAACTTACTTGATATGTGTGGATGGGTGCAAAGTATTCGTCCATCTCATTAATGGAGTCCCACTGCAAAGAGAAGAAAGACAGATTGATGTTTGTGTCTCAGTCTTTTCACTCTTCTACATTACAGTGATGGGGGGATGTCTATAGCTCCCTGACTATGCTCCCTGGCCACATTACAGCATTATTAACTCAGTCCACATACGACACATGTGACAACAGAGTGACAGCTCCCTCATATGCTCGGTTCACATCCCAGGAGACTTGCCACTTCAAGTTACTTCAATATTATAGATAGGCAAGCTGCAAGAGCTAGTGTACATACATTCAGACTATACTTTCTTAGGTTTGTAGAGGTAGAAATACTCATACTTAAAGGTGCACAGTGTAACTTTTCTGGTGGAGGGTCTGCTCACTACTTGTCTCCATGGAGAAGTTATTTCTTTACCTGGAATGTACTACAATATATATATATATATATATATATATATATATATATATACACACACACACACATATATATATATATACATATATATATATATATATATATATATATATATATATATATACATATATATACATATATATATATATATATATATATATATATATATATATATATATATATATATATATATATATATATATATATATATATATATATATATATATATTAGACATGACCATTTGCATAAAAACAAGATTGTGATACATGTGAGATCCATGTAGAGGTGAACCCACTCACAGTAAGAATGCATGTATTTCAAGGTATTTTTGAGAAATTAAAACAATTAATTGAAGGAATCCAAGATGGATCCATTTAATGGTGTACTGTTCAGACAAAATGGTAGTGTTTGCTTATTTTCTAGCAGGGGTCTAATTTGATGACCATAGTATGGTACAGTCATGTACATCTCCTATATATTTTTGAAAAATTGTAATGAAGTTTGTTTGAGAAGTTCGATAAAGTCTTTGTGATACTGTCAGTTATCATGGAGAAAACAGCAGTTTGAATAGCAATATTAATATAGTCATATGCAGTCAAAATGGAGGTCTTTCCATGAGGCTTCTGCATTATGTGTGTTTTGATGCAGTCATTTTTGTTAAGCTCTTTATATTGCATTCAGCATTTCCCTAGCTTTGCCCCAGTGCTCCATTCAAAGCCCCCAGACTCCCTTGACACAAACAGCAATTTAAACATGTTGTGTCAGATAAAATTACTGTTTTTGTCAGGGAAGTTGGCTGGCTTAAAGAGGCTGTATATATATGAAGCTTATACAGACCTCAGAGCATTGCAGCTGGAGCATGTAACTGCATTCTGAATGGAACGGCAAGAGCAGGACACTTTTGGGCCATCGGTAGATAGGATGGTATGTGTATGACTTATGAAACATGGAGCAAGCCTATAGATTCTTTAAAATTATATGTTAGAAGAATGTGCAAAATTATGGAATAGAGTCACCTGAGGCCAAAGTGAAGCTGACATATCACATTCAGTGATTAACTGATTTTAAGAGCTATAAATGCTAATGATTTAATGACATTATAACAAAAAATAAACAACTATTTCCAATCTAAGGTACACATGTTAGTTAATTTGCTTCTCTGTTATGAAAGATGAAAAAATACAATTTTGTAACCTCAAACTTGTATTTGAGTTTTACAAAAAGTATAATTTAAGATGAAATGTGTAATATATCTGTAGATGAAGTGAAAAAGTATAGTGGGCTCAACTTTTCTGTAAGGATTCGTCCAGTAAAAATTCTTTGTCAAAAATGCTTAATGTCTACCATAAACATTTGTTAAATAAACAAATAATGTAAAACACAATTGTAAATGTGATATCACTCATATGTATGTGAGGGGCTTTCATTTGCAAAATTTCCCCGGATTTTCCATATTTTGTGAGATTTTGAAGTTAATCCCAGTTTTCCCATTGATATCTCACAGAAAGTTTCGGCTTCATCTTGTCATTAACTGTACTGGGTGATTTTGGGCCAGTAGTCTTCCTGTAAAAAGGTTGACATTAATAAGAAGAGGTAATAATTTTTAACATGAACTACAATTCAATTTGTTCACCTGAATTTAGGACTAATGACTTTAATGTGTTGGAGTGTGTTTATATGAGCAGCGGTTGCATGTGCGGTTGCATGTTTAATCAGCTCATTTAGCACTATTCCAATGGGACTCATTTCCTCATAACAAAGCCTCTCATGTAAGCAATTAGGTTCCCATTGTTCATTAAATGCCACCGGTGGTTGCCACAAGCAGTACAACGGTGTGTTTGTATTTCTAAATGTACATCTTCATGTACTGTGCATGTGAGAAGACTTGATGACAGGAAATAAAGGAATAAGTCTACCATTAAAATGAGACATGCCTAGATTCCATGAGGCCAGATGCAGAGAGCACATACGCAGTACAGCACATGAAATATTCAGGCTGCTATGGAACAGCAAAGTCGAAGTCGGCGATTAAAGCTGTTTTGACTGTACATATGTCAGTGTAAGATTCTCTCAGCATAACTCCACATACATAAACACAACATTAGTAAGTAATATGATGGATTTAAAGATATTTATTTGTATAGTACAAAAATATTACTTGATTAATTTTGGCTCATATGGTCTGATTTACTATTTCAGGGTGTGTTGACTAAATGCTGAAAGTCCCTGGGCACCTCAGGGAGAGAAAATCCTTTTGTGGCTATAATCACAGAAACCTCAGAGAGCTCAGACCAGTGTGGATGCTCTGTCAGCTGCTTTATTCACAGGGACTGGTGTCAGAAGTTCAGCATTGCATCTTTACCTGTCCTCAGCAGGTGGGATTTTATGGGCATTGGCACTTTAATAAAATCACATTAGAAAAAGAATAGAAAGTCACAAGGTTTCCATAGCCCATCTCTAGATCACATTTAACTGGACAATTATTAGGTAAACTATAGATGCTTGAAAATGGTCAAACTGAGATGCAGTATCAGTTTTTATCACTTGAAGGGCAAGTATTATACCATTTTCTGATCTATGTTATAATATTGTTTCCTTATCAGAAACATAACTGGAGTTGTGATTCGTTTCATTCAAAAACATTCTAACACACAAATTTTGGCTGAGTTCTTCTCTGTGAAGGATAATTTCAACCCTGGAATTGCCAGTCACACCTGGAAAAAAAAGGTTGAGACTAATAATAAAGGATTACTCAAACATGTGTAAATGAAACAAAACACAACTCTGGGTATGTTTATAATATGGCTAAAAGCTCACAAGAATCTATTTTGTGTAATATAGGAACTTTAAAAGGTAAAAATGTTAAATGCAGCAACAACAGTGAATATGTGATAGCACTGACTTCTGTAGACTTTCTTTCCGTATTCTCTCTTTCTTTATTTTATCTCAGCATCAGTTTTTATTTCATCTTTACTCTTACTTGGGTCCAGACCTGAGCTGATGATATCTGATATGATACAACGGCACTTACCCTTAAAATATTGATGTTAGACTTGCTGACTCACAGCGGCGAAACTGGCTGTTTTTCTCCTATCCTGCACAAACTAGAGTCACCAGATATGGTTCTAGAAGAAGAAACAGAAACAGCTTCTGCCACCTGACCCATAATATTCCTAGAAAATTAGTTTCCAATGTTCTCAAACTTTTTGTGTTTGAAAACACACATACAGCACATTTCTAAACCTGCAATGATCTTCCAGTTTACATGTATGAATACTTCCATCGTCTTTAACCCCCAGTGACCTCAGATCAGATCTTTCCATACACTGCTTGGTAATTGGACGGGAAAATGCTGACCCCGCCCCTCCCACCTGAACTTGGGCCTCTAGTTAAGTCCATCAGGCTTTTCTTATGGAGTCCCTTCACCAGATCACCCTGTGCCCCTTTGGCTCCCATTACACACTCGCACTCTTGCACTCTCCCCGAGGCACCAGCAGCCAACCAGCTCTGGGATAATGAAGATGTTGGAAGTCTCAGCCTTGCTCTCATCTTTATCAGCTAAATTGAAAGCGTCCTTGAACTTGGGAAGACCCTGGCTAATTAGTGGGGTGTTCAACCTCGATCTGCTCATTATTTCTGTCCTGCCATCGCTGCATTATCCAACAAGTCTCTTTTTTTGGCTTTTATCAGGACCTGGCGGCTGCAAGTCACTGATCTGGACAATTCAGAAATATTATTAACTAGAGAAAGTAAAAAATAAATAAAAATACATGAATGAGGAATTTTTGGAATTTCATATCAAATTGAGCAATATAGTTTTCAATGACATTGGATAAATCATTATAAGAAGAAGGTCACTTGAGGATAACCAAACCTGCATTGTTGTAGTCAAGTCTACAATTTCATGTTCATGTTATTGGTCTTTGGCATCTGATAAAAATGTATTTAAAGAAGACAGATTGTGCTTGAGTCGGCTAAATAGTTATAATACATGAAACCTGTGGATCATTATTTTAAATAATTTAGAGTTTTTAAATTGCAATATTGACGTAAAATGATGTAATAAAAGAAACAAGTCCACTAACTTTTGTGTTAGAAAACTAAGGTCCCCAAGGGAAGCTGACATCGCCATAAATGTCATGGCAACAAAGCCACGAGGTTGGCAGCACCTGATAGTATGTTCCTTTTTTCATTTGTGCAAAAAAAAAAAGCAACACTATGCAACACTACCAAACCCTGTGTGTATCACTGATTCAGAAAAGTGTTAGACACTTACAAAGACATTTTGTTCCACCATGCTATATAATTAAATGGTCTTAACAAAATAGCTCCATAGTTCCACCCATCTTCATAATAGAGAGTGTTTTAGCGCTGAACTGACTCTAAACTGCACATCTGTTGTGTCTGTCAGCTCATCACTTCTGTTACCAGACAAACCAAATGTAACACTCCCTGACAAGACTCTGACATATGCTCATAATGGTAATCCAGCACATCAGTGTGTTCTGCGGGCAGTGGACTGAGGAAACAAGCTGTCACTCAACATCTGCCACTCACTTCATTTTTTTATATTTAAAGTTTTAGAAAAAGTATGTTCTTTGCTATGAATACATTTGGTTGATGAGGACACAA